TTGGATTTGTTCCGATGTGCCTTTTTCCTTTGCTAATTTGAATCCATACCTTTTTGCTATAATAAACTTTGAGTATAATAGCTTTTCTGAGTTCTGTGAGTCCTTCCAGCAAATCATCAAACCTGAATGTGGTCTTGAGGACCCTACACATCGCCTGTAGTTTGCTTTAACTAATAGAATCAGAGGGAGAAGCGACAGTGTATCTGTTCTGGGTGTTTGCCTTAAGAAGGCCCAGAAACTACCCTGAGAAAGTAACAAGTAGAGACCAGGGGAAGAGGAGAGGCTGGCATAGTGGCACAGTCAAATCTCCAGAAGACTACGGTCCGAGCCACTATCTGAGTGCAACTGCATAAGACCCCAGTAAAGACAACTGGTCAGTTAAGTCCAATCAGCCCACAGAACCATGGGAGAAAAAAAATGCTTGTTGTTTAAACCACTAACCCACTTAGTTTTGGGATGGCTTCTAATGCAGCAATAGAAAACTAAAGCCAGTAGGAATGGTAAAATAATGAAGTAATTCTGAATTTAATTGGTTAAGAAATCATACATCAGTAACTGCCAGAAACCATTACTTCCAACAACTCAACCCAAAAGAATTTTCCTAAATTGAAAGCAAAAAATAATTTATTAAGGAAACCAGAAATTAGTAAAATTCTCCCGAGCTGTGGAAGTCTGTTGTTTAATTTATATAAGGCTCCAGGCTTATGTTCACTGCTCGTTTGGAAAACAGCAACACGCCATCCATAAACAGTACGTCACACAAATGGCCCACCATGTTTTAAATTTGTCCTTAAAATAAGAATGTGAGGTAATTGATCTTATTCAAAGTTCAGATATGGTGGGAGAGGTCCCTGGCAGACAAGCTGAAACACAGGTTTTAACCCACATACCCTCTGTACCCGTGGGCTTCCACCTGACCACCCACCAGTGACTTCCCCAGAGGAAGAGATGCCAAACTCCTGACCCATGATGTTTGGAAATACTGTGGAATATTTCCACTCATGGATTTTACCACAAGCTCAGTGAATATTTTCAGCAAGCTAAAAATGTGGCTCCTCAGTCATGATAATACGAAGTCCATACGATTAAGGGAACAGCAACGATGCTGGCAATTTAATTATCAAGTCCTCTTCCAGAACACTCAATGTCTTATAAAAATGTATAATTTGCTTTGCAAGTACTTATCCTTTAGTGAACATAAGTGGTCTTAGACAAGAGCAATAAGAGATGAAGTCTCTTAGGTTGGTTGAGTGGTGGCTCTTCTAACAGCCCCATTCTTGGAAAATTGAACCTGGATTTCTCATAAAACATCAATCATCCCAGATAATGGTGATAACACAGGTATGTATACTTAATTTTCACTTCCTTGCCTTGAATTTATACCTCACATTTGGCAGGTTTAAATGACTTAATCAATCCGTAAGCTTTTAATGGAAAAAAAAACAAAGTATAGAGAAGCACATTGTCTTAGGTTGCTCCGCAAATCAAAACACATACTTTTAAAAATCACACATTCTTTCCTTGTGTTAAGAACCAACCCTAAGGGGCACCTGGGTGTCTCAGTCGTTGAGCGTCTCAGGGCATGATCCTGGGGTCCTGGGATCAAGTCCTACATCGGGTCTTCACAGGAACCCTACTTCTCCCTCTGCCTAAGTCTCTTATGAATAAATGTTTCTGCCTCTCTCTGTCTCTCATGAATAAATAAAATCTTAAACAAAACTGACCCCAAGTACCAAAAAATAGACTCTTAACTGCAGAGAAAACACTGATGGTGACCTGAAGGATGAAGGAGGGCACTTGCTGTGATGAGCCCTGAGTAATGTGAATTCTTGAGTCACTATATTGCACACCTGAAACTAATATAACACTGTGTTAACTATCCGGGAATTAAAAAAAAAAAAATGCCAAGTGCCTGGTCTGCACCTTCTCTCCACAAGGCTGAAATAGTTATGCACCTATTAGGGAAGTAGGCAGAGAATTTCCTCAGGCATGCATGAAAGAAGATGAGGAGGCCTTATTCATTGGCTGCCTCCTCTTACAAAGATTTCATGGAAATTTGGTGGACGTACAGCACATTTCTCTGTACTTAACATTTTCCAAAGCCCAGATGTTTTTCTCGTAACTGTGAACGCTGGCTGACTTGTCTGTGTCCTTCTCAGTGCTCAGCAGACGGGACGTTTTTGGAGTGTCTTGTCCCCTATAACTTGGGGGCTGATGTTCCCTACTGGATGGAAAACACATATTTGGCTAGACAGACATGAAAACACATCTTTGGCTGGTTACACGAAAATGTTTCCATTTTGGGAAATTCCCTGTGATAAAAGTGTTTTTCTGGCTCTGGGCACACATAAGTAACCACGAGGACACCTCAGTAAAAGAGAAAACAGATTTATAGTACCTTGCCATGATAGTGACATGCGATTATAAGCTCCTGAGGATTTTCCTGTTGTTTCATTTTGGAAACAAAAAGTTGACTCATTTTTCTGGTTAGTACCTCAGTGTTTTCTTTTTTTTTTTTTTTCCCTCAGTGTTTTCATTAGGGGGTTTCTATAAAGACTCTCTCTGAATCATCATAAGGAAAATTATTTCAGAGATTGGATAAAAGTTTATCCCCTGTAAACAACACAGACTGCTAAAACCTGCTTGGAGTTGAACAAATTGCATAGAAGATTTATCCTCAGGAATGCAATGTATCAAGTAAAACAGTGATTTTCCAAACACTGCCAAGTTCAACTAGTTTAGATAATGCAAGTCTGGAAATGCAAATTGACTAAAAATGTCAAAGTATTCTTATACTAATTAAATTTGTTTTATTGGAATATTTTAATTTCCTAGCAATTACATAGCACTGAACTATTTACTAAAATATCAAATGGTTAGATGTATTCATTCTTCATTTATTATCTGTCACGGTTGGTATGCTAAATTATAATTGAGTGCTCTCATCAGGGACTTCAAGGATAAATTAAAATTCTCAGTAAATTTCCAGTTGGTATATACAGATCACAAAATACCATTTTAATCCTTTGCAGGGGCAAGACAGGAATTGGAAGCTCAAGACTTTCATTTTTTTAAGTGGTGGGAAAACAAAATATTCCAGATAATTGTGAATGAGACATGGTTCTGTAAGACCGGAAAAAAAAAAAAAGCCTATTTCTGTACCATTCAAGTTTCTAACACTGGTTCTTCTTTTAAACTAATTTTTAGTTATATATGGAAGCTCTAAGAATCCGAAAAAAACAAGGCTATCTTAAAAGTGACTTACCCAGCTATTTCTAGCCTCTAAAGCTGGCAAATCATGGTAAAGTTGCAAAATGAATCCATACCTTTTCTGGGGAACATAGTGGTGAAGGCCACTTCTCTCTTGGTTGTTGGCACATATAATGCCTTTCTCACCTATGGAAAGCCAGCCTGGTGAATCATAGCTGGTTGTGAACACCTCTCATTAAAATTCTGGAGGGGTCTGAAATTTGAGCCATGAGATAGCTGCAAATTAGGAGCCATGTTCAAAAGTTTGTGAGATGTCTCTGTATAAAAATCATACCCAGATCTTTAGAGAATAGGTCAAACCTGTATGATTTTAATAGCATCTCAAATGTCACCATGTGAAAAATCATTTCAGAAGCACACTGCCCGTTGTTGTCTGAAGCAATGATGTTTCTAGAATGGTCTTTATCTATACCATATTTATTTATTTAAAGATTATATTTATTTATTTATTTGAGAGAGCATGATGGGGATGCAACGGGGGGGGGGGGTGGGGGCAGAGAGGGAGAAGCAGACTTCCAGCTGAGCAGGGAGCCCTGTGGGGCTCGATCCCATGACCCTGAGATCATGACCTGAGCTGAAGGCAGACACTTAACCAGCCACCCAGGTGCCCCTATCCATACTACATTTAAAGAAAAATAGGGTTTTACTGATATCCTGGTTTTGACAATAGCTAGGTGATCTTGGGCAGATTCCTTAACTTCTCTCGCCTTACTACCTTCATCTGTAAAACAGTAAAGGTCATGGTAGGGAATAAGTGAGTTAATGTGTCTGGTGACCTAATTACTACTCTGTGTCAGCTGTTAACATCAGTATTATCACTCACCTATTACATTAACTCATAATGTTTGCAGAAAGGCCATCAAGCATGAAGTTTTTAAAAATTTGATTTTAAAAAATCAGCTAATAGGACTCCCTCCTTCCAGACAGTCCTCACTGCCTTCCTTTTGTGTGGGCTTAAGGGTTGCTCTCTCTCCCCTTCATGCATGTTTGATTGTTAGCCTGTAGGCACAACTGTGTGATTCAAATGTGCCCAGCCGGATCAAAATTTATCCTTACAACCCCTCTCTCTAGTTGGTCCTGTTCATAGCTAGAGAGGAGCAAGCAGTACCCACCAACTGGCTGGGGAATCCATTTTGCATACTTCTGTGGAAGGAGATCTGTTATAGAACAGAAAAGCACCAAGTCAGTAGCTCCCGCAGACCACACTCTCATGTAGGGAAAGCAGAACTGGTCAGGCCAGGCTGCTGAACTAAACTTCATAAGCAACATAGCAGACATGAAGCTGTGCTATTGCTGCAACATAGAAGACTCACCCATCAGCTCTGGGAGACGAAAATGGTAATTTCAGTTGGCATCTGGGGGGGTCGAGGATTTTATATCAAACAAGGAGACATTCTGCCTGTGCTCCTTGTCTTGGACAAGCACACAGAGACCCCGAGAAACCAACACCTCCTTTAGGCTGGAGTGGGTTAAAGCAGATCACAACCTCTGGAATTTTTAAGTTAGGACATTTCCTGGTGAGCCCTTATTGTAATATCAATCTTTTGGAGGCAGGCAAATTCAAGTACACTAAATCATAGACACAGTGACAATGCAAATATTTAGGGCTGGTAGTTAAGTCTGCTATTTCCTGATAGCTGGCTGGCAGGGGTTTTGTTTCTTTTTATAAAATAAGATGTTTACTTTATCATTCACAAACATAAAATTACATAGAAACAACACACAAAGTACTTAGAATGCAAATATTCTTTGGTTTACTCATCAAAATTGTAAATAACAAAATAGCAAAAACCTTATCAGTTAAATAAAAAAAAGTGACATTCTTTATTCACCTATCAAACCTTATTAAACATTGAAATGCATTTATTTTCATTCTCATGTTCCACAGCAATATGCTTTTTTCCCTTTTGGCCCATACCCTCCCCCCAAATTATTTTGATGAGCTCATCTCTAAAATAAAGACAGTTGTACTTTTCTTAACATCACTGGCTTTTATAAGAACCACCTAGATTTTTCTTTGTGTCTCTTACATCCCAAACGGATACTAAAAATGGAGATCTCCCCACCAGCATATTTTCAAGAATGATCACATTTTGGAAGTATCACTGTTGGTACTAAAAAACAGGACTCCACTCCAGAAGCATATTCATATCTTAGACATTATTTACAATGTCAGATACAGTTGGTTCCTACAATACTGATTTCAGAGAAGCAGTTTCCCGTTTTTTGACGGTTCACTTTGCCTCAATTCTTAAATGTCTTAATTCTCAATGAAGACTTAATTCTTAAATGTCTATGATAAAATCTTTAGCAAAAGAACATTTAACAAAAAGGTAGACTTGAAATTGTCTCAAAAGGAGCAACGATAGCAAAAGAAAATTCTCAGCTTTTTTTAACACAGGCACACATACATAGTAAGGAGCAAGAGTGAATCAAAGTACAAAACTCTGCATACGAGAGAAATATCCAATGTACTGACACAACAAATGACCTAAAAAAACATATCTTGAGGTTTGGTGTCATCCATATCTTTCTTTGTCTAACTCCAAATTTGCATCACAATCATATACCTTTCCCGCGATCTGCTAACTGTAAGGGAGGGAGCGTTTGATCAGAATTTTTGGCAATATGCTTTTCTTCAAACAAAACAAGCTGCATAAAACGTTACAGACAATGCCTAACAACTGAACTGGGCAGAAGTCTTTCTGAAACGTGGGTAATCTTGAAAAAAATTCATTTTTTTCCTTCATAAATCAGCAGTGCTCTGTTTTCAAAGAAATCCCGAGCGCTCACAGTCTGAATTCACAGGATCATATGTTCTCCTCATCCAACATTTTGTTGACACCATCACAGAGTTTTTGTAAATGGGGTTTAAAATTTCCGAAGGGGTTATATAAGGCCGCTAAAAAATCACAATCTGAAAAATGATCAAAGACGTTATTAACTCGTCCATGTGACTTGGCAGTGAGGTGGCGCTGGATGATTTGGTGGAGCATCTCTCTGCACTCATTCAGCAGCCGGGATAGCACGTTCCGGTCAAAGGTGTACTCCACCTGGTGGAAGCTGACCACGGTCATGGCAAGCTGGTGAACTTTCTTCTTAAATTTCTCCATCAGCGCCAGCTCATCTTGATTGAACTGGTTATTCCTGTAGAGAATGGCCAGCTTGATGACTGTCTTGATGAGGTTCTTGATGATCTTCTCTGCCTCCTTCTTGTTCTGGGTGTACTCCTTGGTCACTCGGTAGAGTTCATCCAGCACTTCGCTGCTTGTGTCGTCGATGAGGGTAGTGGCGATGGATTTGGACACCATTTTCCCCAAGATCTTCTTTTGTGCCTGCACGGCCAGGTTTTTGGAATTGAAGACATCTGTGGCCACTAAAAAGAAGCAAATGAGAAAACAGATATTAAGGATTTTTTTAAAGATGTTATTTATTTATTTATTTATTCATGAGAGACACAGAGAGAGAGGCAGAGACACTGGCAGAGGAAGAAGCATGTTCCTCGAGGGGAGCCCGATGCGGGACTCGATCCCAGGACCTCAGGATCATGACTTGAGCTGAAGGCAGCCACCAAGGTGCCCCTAAGTAGTATCTTCCTTCTCATTTTCCCACTCTGTGGTTGCCTCCCATCTACTCACATTAGTTTCTGTTCAGAAAAGTACTAAAAATTTTAACCATATTTCTGGGCATTAGGTTCTCCTTTCTGAAAAGGACAAGTCATTGTGCATAATCTTTAAGGCCTCTGGCAACTCAAATGGTGAATACCTTCTGCTATATACTCAATACTTTGTTCAGCGGTTGAAGGTGAAAACCTTCCAAAAAGATAACTTTTTCTGATTAAAAAAAACGGAACGTCTCACGAGGCAGGAAGTACTTATGCAATTCCCCCCCCCCCCCCCCCCCCCGGTTCAACTTTGTAAGACATACATCAAAAATACAAAATCAACTCCACAGCTGTCCTCTGGACAGCAGGCACCGAGAACAATGTAAAGAAACCCCTTTAAATATAAGAAGGATAAATAGCAAAGTCACATGGAGTCTAGTACCAAATTCATGGAAGCAAATCAAGAGGAGAACCTTGCTTTAAACTTCAGCGGCAAAAAGTCAAATTCTCTGAGATACTGGCCCGCCTCTTCCAGGTAGGTCATCTTAACCGTCCAGAATTTCAACTCCCAGAAGTTGAGTCTTAGAAAAGAATATTCCTTGGAGAGCTCATTGTCACTTGCTATTTCTGAGGAACGGCCACCGTTCGTTCCCTTGAGACATTTATATGTTATGTGGAAATAACCATTTCCATGACCTAATGAAATGTGCTACATGAATAACACACATTTGAGCTGATGCTTAAAGTTTGCTTTTGAAATTGCCATCCCTTAGTGTGACAGAGGTGTAACATACAGGTAATAATCATTGCACATACTAAATATGAATGAAACGCTGTGTGATGCTCAGTGAAAATGCTCAATAAATGTTTACTCCCCTAGCCAAGTTTAGTTTTTCCCCTGAATTTCCCCCTACTGTTCATGCTACTCCACCAAACTGTGCTTTCTCCCTCCCCGTCTAGGTCCTGTGAGCTATAGTTGTGCCCCAACCCTGGATCCAGGACCAGTTGTCGTCTCTTGTATACTAGTCTATAAGGCCAGGCCTGGGTGTTGGAAAGCAGTCATATAGTAATGAAAGACAGAAAGACTAAAAATACAGACAGGTAGGAATGAGTCAGGGCATTAGTGGTATACAGTTATTTCTAGTTTGGACGGGCCGGCGGCAGAAAGCAAAAAAGGCAGCTGCTCCCAAATCCAGGCTGGGGGAGGGTATCTAAGAAGAGTGACCCCCTCTGCGTGGAACTGCCAAGTTAGATCTGATGCGCTTGGGCCAAAGTAGCTCATGCTATATATTCCAGGTAGTACCAAGTGGTTCCTACTGTCCAGAACGCCGCTCACAAATACACAGGGTCACAGCCCTAAAAGAACGACCTCACTGAACCAGAAGCAGTGTCCTCACAAATGTCGACATTTAAGTGTCTGAAACACGAACTGAAACTGCAGAAGAAGAACTGAAATATATTTTGAGAAAGAAGAGGAAAGTGAAAAAGCATGAGAAACGGCCAACTTGTGAAGGTTTCCAAGTTTTTTTCATATTTTCATCAGTTACACCCACCTCTCTTCCTAAAGGTTTGCAAAAGAGTGTATGGGTTAATCGATATTAAATAGTTTGTATCAAAATGAATGGCACATGCGTAGTCAATATTACCACATTAAGTCCAGGGACCTATCTGCCATTGCAGAACTTATGATATGGACTTCAACAGATAAACCTGATTTACGTAGGAAGGGATCCTACCCACCCCCCAATTTCAGATTCACAGTAAATAATATGATTTCAGAAACTCACACAAAGTTGAAGAGTTATTCTGTGCTGAGTCTATTGGAACGTTTCTGTGTTGAGTCTTTAGGAATGTGACAGTCTCCCAACATCCATCTAGGATTTACTACAATGTCTACTCGATGGAAACATTGTACACTATGAAATCACTGGGAAAAATCCTTCTTGCTTCTCTGAGACTGGACTTGAAAGTTTGTACCTCTTGTAAGCTACTTTGCTTATTAAACCTCAATGCCCCATTCAATTTCCAACATAAAGACAATGCAAAAAAAATTGTTTAATGTAGTAGCGCTTGAACCCCCCATAAGAGAAATTGTGAAAAGCAAGGCCATGGCCAAAAAAAATCGCTCCCCATTTACCACTAACAAGTCTCACTCAGGACAGAGAAGCTGACTTCTGAGGCTTTCCCAGTTACCCCAGAGGAACTTCCAAGCCCAACTCTAGAAACATAGCAGCCACTTCTTCCTTTTGTTTTCTTCTTTGGGTTACAACCAGCTCAGCCATCTTTTTTTTTTTTTTTAAGATTTTATTTATTTTTTTCATGAGAGATACAGAAAGAGAGGCAGAGACACAGACTCCTTCCCTGCAAGGAGCCTGATGCAGGACTTGATCCCAGGACCTCAGGATCACAACCCAAGCCAAAGGCAGACGCTCAACCACTGAGCCACCCAGGAGCCCCAGCTCAGCCATCTTTTAAAGGAAAGCCGAAGCCCTTTCCCCTCCACTGTGCAGGGAAGACATGCTTGCAGTGGATTTCTTTTCTAGCATTAGTGAAGGCTTCTTTGGAGCCAACTGGGGGTTGTGGCTGAGAGTTGCTGAGACCACAGGGCTGTGTGGTCTGTGATCATGGAGTATGATTTTTCTTTCCCACTTGCAAATTAACTGCCGTTAGCCATTCCTGCTCAGGCTCATCTGTCAGTTCCACATCCTCCACCAGATCCCTTCTCGTACAGGCCTGGTGTATCTCAGAGCTAGTCCTGGATCAAGTTTTTCTCCTTTGCTCTACCCTCGGCCTTGTGTGAGCCCATGCACTCCCATGGCTTCAGACCTCCCCCTCCAGATGCCAGCAACTCCCACACTTAGAACTCACTCTGACCTCTTTCCCAGACTCATTTTGCAAATGCATTCAACGTTTTCCTTTCTCTTGGCTATTTTGCGGGCATTCCAAATGCACCATGTCCAAATTGGAATCCTTGATTCCCTCCTGCCCCCCACCCCCAAGCGTTCCTCCTCCATTCTACCTTCATGAATAGTATCCCTTCCATCCATTTGCTCAAAGGGGGCCTGGCTGTCACCCAGTACCCCATCCTCTCTCTTGCCCAGCACATTACCGACAGCCTTCCCTTCATGTCCACGGATACCAACCTAGTTCAAAGTCCTTTCCAATCTTTTCTCACAGAGGAGCTAGAGCTTTTCAAAATGTAAATTAGAAAAAGATGCTGACTTCAAGTCTTTGCTAACCAACACACTTCCTTGTTTCTGAAATCCTCATTTGCCTAAATTTTGATTGTCTGCCTCTCCTCCCTAGGCTTGAAGTTCTCTGTGAACAGAGATGGAGGTGATGGGGGTGCCTGGTCCATGGCGCTTCCGACAGAAGGGGAAGCCCATTTCCCCCTTCCCTTCACTCGATTTAAATGCTTTCCTATGAATACATGGTGGGCTGCAAAATGAGAGTTTTGAATACATATGTGGGGTTTTTTTGTTGTTTGCTTTAAAAGCTGGAGAAACAGATATTTATTTTACCTAGCTAGCTATGTGGTTTTCTTATCTCGCACTCAAGAGTGTGTTTCTCTTACTGCCGTCAAGCAGGGTATTTTTCCCCCCAGAGGACAGATTTGTTGTGCATAGTGAGAAAACACCAGAGGGCAATAATACAGATATTAAGCATAAAAGCCAATGCAATGGTTTTGCATTGCATCTGCTACCTCTGGCTACAGTGAAGGATCAAACACAGGCTCACCTCTTCCTCTGGAGGGATCTACTCTTAAACACATAACAGAGGGACGGACCCAAGGTAAGTCCTGGGAAGTAGCTAAGAGATGAAGAGGAGATATTCTCAACGGAGAGGGTGCTGAAAATATGGTTTCAACATTTCATCAAGATGAATTCACTTGTGTTTGAAAATATACATGTACATCACTGACTAAGGAAAAATGATGCCATATATCAAAAATATACCAAGGACTGCCAGTAGTAAGACTGTTGTATGGAAAGACGTGTAAATGTTATTTTTATGCCTACTTATCTTTGGGTCCTTCCTCTATATCTCTATATCTCCTTTCTTGGTTTAACGAAATTGTCCATGTCAGCAACGTTTACTGTAAAGCCAACTGATATTCAGGAAATCCCAGGTCTAGCATCAACAATTACAAATTTGGAGACAAATTTTGATGGTAAAAATATACTGACCCCCATATATAAGGGGAAAAAAGTACGTGTAAAAAACCAACCAACCAACCAACCAACCAACCAACCAACCAACCAACCAACTAAACAAACCCAACCAACCCAAGAATTTTCCATAAAATTAATGAAAAACTATAGTTTACTGAAATTAACAATTCCCCATAATATTATTCCAACTAAGAAATTGCTGACATTGTGAAGCACTCAAGTGACTTTCTATACAACCTCACCAGCAAACAAATAATTTATTCACCCATCAAATTTGTTATACTTGGAAATTTAAGCAATGACTACAGATGCACATGTATGCCATTTCTAATTCCCACCTAGTTAAAATTTGATCCAGCTGGCCCAGTCTTAGGAAAGATGGAAAAGAAAACAATTTAGAGAGTATGTCTGGCTGTTGTGAGCTGTTAATAAAAGCTCTTTAAACAAATATATAAAACCTTAGCTCTCCTGCACCTGAATAACTCCAAAGCTAAATGGGGCTTAGTAATGGGGATAAGAAGGTGGACATAGCAAACTGTAAACAGTGTCACAAGAAGTCAACAGACTAAGAGTTGGTCTCCCTCCCTTGGGGTCTGGTAG